TCTTGTGTATCACTTTTAAATATTGTTGAATGTGGTGACAATAGCCATACATACAAGAATCCTTATAAAAATTATAATACCCGGCGACACTAAAGTGATTGTACTTTGAAAATATTACTTTTGTCACCTATGACTTTTTAACAATAATACATAAACAATATTTACCTCTCATTTATTTTATTTTATTGATCAATAGTGTTTAAATTTAATATTTTTAAAAAACATTTTAATGTGATCTGTCGTACCATTAATAATTACACGAATGTCCTTACTTTTGAATATCTTTTTTCCCATAAATTATGATTTATATTTTGTTCTTCGACATTTTGTAATTTCTCGATTAACAGAACAAAGGGAACTGATTTAAAGTTCAAATTTTCTTTGTGTATTTATAATTCAATTTATAGATAGTTAAAGAGACAGATATATTAAGAGTAAAATGAGTAACCAAAATAACTTCCTGCTATCGTGATATTTATTCATTGAAAATGGACTGCGCAGTTATTTATTTTTGTATATCTTTTTGCAGCTATAATAGGAGCCTGACATTGAGCATCTGGAATTACCGCCACATCTACTTGATATGACAATGCCTTGTTTTTACATCATTAATTTTCGTTCAAGGTATACGATGTAGTTCAGCAGAATTTACAGGCAGATCTCTAAGATTTTAACACACTTTACTTTTCGCGATATGATAGTGTTCGGCTCAATTAGGATTCGAACCAATGAACCTAATATTTTGCCTGTGATATGCTCACGAGAATGTCAGCTCAGAGACATTGATCTAAGAGTGAAGTCATTGGGAAAGTCATATTAAAGTCCACTTCGAGGAATTTTTCAAATAGCTCCAAAATGGCACCAAGGTGCGTTTTCAAAGTCGAGATCAGAGAAACAAGGGGACCATGACCATGACCACAAAGCTACCGAGGCCACCAAAGCAGAAAAGTTGAAGAACACAGAAGTGAACGTGTCGCTGTTCAGAATGGCCGAGTGGCTGTGGCATCGGACTTCTGCATCAGTTGTAAATGCGGCATCCCTTTAAATTCAGACAATACGGCAATGAAGGAAAGAAGCTATATAAGAATAAATTACAGTTAAAAAAACTAAACAATACGCTTTTATAATCCATAAAACTAAAAGTAAAAAAATAACTCTTAATATAAGAATAAAATGATTAACGGAGAAAATTAATATCATTGGGATAAAAGCGTGGGGTGCTCTATATTAATTGTTATAATTTCTTACTAGTTCTATTCCAAAATGCTGAGTTAGTGTAAAAATGTAGCACAAAGCACCCAACGCTTTTACCACAATAACATTATATAATTTTCTCGTTAATCATTTTATTCTTATATTAAGAGTTTTTTTTTACTTTTTAGTTCGATTCACTATAAAAGCGTGTTTTTAGTTTTTTTAAATAAACTATAATTTATTTTTCATTTTTAGTTCGATTCACAATAAAAGCCTATTTTTTTAGTTTTTAAAAGTATCATTTATTCTTTGTTGAATTTATCCTTGAGTTCTATATTTGGAACCGGAATTATGTGGTTGCTGAAATTAGTTTTGCTATTCAATGGATATTAATTAATGGGTCTGAAGGGTATTTATTTCCTCCATATCGTTATACTTCAAAGATTCCATTTCTACAGATACAGGTCAAACCAATAAAAGTGTGTTAAGAAGAAATATTAAATGTCAATCTTATTAGCACCTTTTAAGTGTATTGCTATAATGTTTATTTGTATCATCATTTTAAAACATATTGCCTTATCAAAATAAAAATATACATATATTTAGCAGTTAGAACATACATTTATCACCATTTAAACGTATTGCTGTAATGTTAAATCGTATCATCACTTCTAAACTTCTATAAACGTATATATATTTTTTTATAAAAATAAAAAAAATATTTTCAGTAAGAGCATAAATTATTTTTATTCACATGCACGAGTTTTTTTATTTTCAACCTACCCTTTTTATATAAAGAACACTTTTTTGTTTTATTTAACTGCAATCCTATTTGCCGTCTTAGGGTTGATCCTTAATCTTTTAGTCGCCAAATTTGAAAATGGCATGCAGAATTAGTCGCCAAATCTGGAAACGAGTTAACTAATTAGTCGCCAGATCTCGGAAATCCTTAAAATCCTTATTCCTGACCATCATGATCAGGATAAGGAAACAAAATTATGAAATTATTGTATTGTCATCGGTCCTTGACAAGTGTGCAAAATTTCGAATAAATCTGACCTTTTAAAGTGGGTAAAAATCGTGTTCAAAGATTCCATTACATACAAGTGAAACTTATAACAGCGTGTTAAAAAAGAATGAAACGCAAAAAAAAAGAAAAGAACAATTCAGAATGTAATACATCTTTAAAGAATAGTTGCCCGATTGGTATCGGCCATTGTAGAAACCAAGCCTTTTTTGGCAAGCATTGTATCCCTCATTATTGCAACCTTGTCTGAAAAGGTTGCATCTGCATAGATGGTGGCTATCCGATTCCCTTTGTGTCTGTAGGTTCGACTCCTACTCCTGAACAGTACTTTTTAAACCACATGATGCACAAATTTTAATTGATTTCAGTCGTTAAAGGAAGTTTTAAATTTAATTTATTAACTGGTTTATTTTTAAACTTTGAAATACTAGCAAATGATGCTGTATTAAATTACCTGAAAAATACGTTTATATGTTATTTAATCATACGGGTAAATATAAATATATATATATATATTAAATCATAAGTTTTATTGGTTACATAATGATGTTTTTATATGTGTGTGAAGAAATCATTTTAAAAACGAAATAAAGACACCAATAAAATTAAAACTTTAGGGAGCCACTTATTTATTATTTTTACATAAAATATCTAATTAAAAGGCGAAAAAAATTATGTTTTATAGGTTAGAAATGTTAAGGAAAATGTTTTGTCCTCTAGGTTAAAAATTTTAAGAGATTATAAATTGTGGAAAAGTGTCTCCGTGGTAGCCTAGTGGTCAAGGTAATGAACACGGGGCTGGCGTGTCATGAGTTCGAGTCTAGAGCCGTTGAAGATCCACCTTTCAGAGGGTGGGCTGATGCACGTTAAATCTTTCGCGACTCAAATGTCCTCCCGTTGATGTGGTGTGGAGATTTAGAAAGGGGTGCCTGCTTAGTTCTCGTCACTTGAGCATAGTTCAAAATTCTGAGGTCAATCCCCAATAGCTTTCCTGCAGCTTTACAGTGCAAGGTTTATTTAACACTCAGTCACTCAAAGTATTTGCAAAATGTTATATGCATCGTTTCTCAAACTATTGAGCACACTCCCCCCCAGAGGGACATGATAACTCTACGTGGGGAGCGTAAGCATATCGAAAAGTCGAACATAAAAATTACTTAAATAAATTATTAATTTACTGAAAAGAAGCGAAATAAAATACCTTCTGACACATTTACACTAATATAAAATACTTATAAATGTGTTTCAGTACTCCACATACAAAGAATACATGTTAAGGGGACTTTTGGCACCCTTTGAGCAAACTTCTTTATTTACGTATTTAAAAATTATATTTTAGCATTGTATACAATGTTTCTATTCAAGAAAATGTTACCAGATGAAAATTTTCATATATTATTCACTCAATTTTAAAATTTTTAATTTTTTGAAGAAAATTGGGAAAATTTTAAAATCCTACCCCTTTTGTAAAAATAATTTTTGACCTGAATTATTTTTATAATACTCTTATGGATGATCTAAACAACTTTATGGATGATCTAAACAACTTTAGGGATCGATTTTAGAATAACTTTATTCGTTTTCGAGAAAAAATAAAAAAATGTTGATATACAGGTTAAAAATCAACGAAAAGCCAACATGTCTTACATTTTATTTTTTTTTAAAAAGTATTCAGTTTATAGCAAAACGGATCCCTAATTTTACTACATGCTTTACTTTCAACACGCAAGAAAAAATGGAAGTGAATGGTAAACAATTGTCGAAGGAGTAGCATTTTGAATGCAGTAAGGTTTCGAAAAACACAAACTGAGAAAAACAGGTTTAAAGTTTATAATTCTGAAAAATAATTATTATAAGCTTAATTAAACTTAAAATACCACTTTAAGATATTAGTTATACGTTTTTCTTTAAAATAATTGCATTTTCATATTTTTTCAACCCACACATTTTTATAAATGATCAACTTTTAGAGAGTACTAATTGCTCATGAAAATACAAGAAAAATGTTAAAAAATTTTTTTCTGTCACGACAGAAATTTTAGCTGTTTTTCTTCTTATAATATTAAAGTATTACATTTATATGAAAAATATATCAGGAAGAAGAACTGAAATTATATAAAATTATTAATATAAAATGCCTTAATTTAAAATTTTACATGCACACATTTCACAAGGAAGAAAAATTACATTATTGTATTGCCTCGGAAATATTCTGCTTTTAATACCACACATTATTTTTTATAGTTATTATTTCTATTTATAAAATAGATTTTTTTTTTATCATAACGCATTTTTTAGCTTTTTTTTCTAAAAAGGAGGTGTGGCTGAATTGCCTAATTTGTTTTCAAATGAAGTTTTATTCAACTTCTAACTTTCCGACATGCACAAGTAATATATAAATCGAAAGATAATAATGCAAAAGAATAAGATTAAATGAAAATAAAAAAAAAACGATAGGTTTGTTATTTTTAGGGTACAGAGTCCTCTTAATGAATTTATCAATACTGAGATAGGAACAAGTTTAATGATTCCTAGTGACTTCCATGCTCTTGTGATATACAAAATGTAATACTTTTCTTGAGGTAATGTGTATGATTTATATAGTTAAAATCATATTGCAGCTTTATCTCTTCAAGTAAATTATTATTACATTCAATACATTGTTATAGTATGGAGGGTGACGCGATGAAAATTGGCTTGTAAACATTGAAAGTTTGAGAAGCACTGCTCTAGGCGGAATTGAGAGAGTAAAGAAAAAATAAGGAACCAGAGCGTTGCGTTCAGGATGGCCGAGTGGTAATGGCATCGGGCTTCTACATCGTTTGCGAAATGCGATCAACCCTTGGTTTCAGTTAATGAGGTATTGGCCTATCTCCAAAAGCAATAATGTTCATAGAATGGAAAACTAAAAATAAAACATCCAAAAGGGACACATTTGAAAAGGCTGAAGACCGAATAACATCGGCAATTGTAAAAGCAATGATATATGGAAAGCAATGGATCCCCTTCAATACTGTTTGAAAGGGCCTTTCTGGTCCATTGGGTGATTGCATTTGCAAAGGTGGTGGTTATCCGGTTCTCTGTTGTGTCCGCAGGTTCAATTCCTGCTCCTGAATAGTGGTTTCTTTTTACCACTTGTTATAAATTTCTGAATAGGTCTTTAATGTTACATATCCAATTCATCGAATGATTCTTCTTTTAAATTAGAAACCTTCTGGCAAAATGCTTATCATTTTAGTATCGAAAAGCAAGTTAATCTTATTGACATTGTTATTTTTATATGTTTGTGAAAAAATCATTTCACATTTTAAATTAATGGCAAATAAAATCATTTGAAAATATTTTGTCTCTCTCATCTTTTTATTATATATTTTATATTCAAGATCTATTAAATTAAAATATATGCAAATATTTTAGACTTTGATTTATACATTAGAAATATTAAAGGCCCCTCCCTTATATAAAAAACCCCTGACATATATGGACTTTCAAAGAAATGCCCATACATGTCAGTTTATTTTATGTGTGGGGTGTTCTACAATAGCAGAGAGATTAGAATAAACGATATATTCAGATTTAGTAAGGAAATAATAAAATGGTTCGTCGCCCATCCAGTATAGTGGTTAGTGACGCTGTGCAGTTGAGCCTGGGTTCGAATCTCTAAGGAGACATGGATATTTGTAAATGCATAGTGCCTTCATGGCATGGGGGTACTTGAAATAGCCGTCGAGCCGCAAGTCCTTTCGTGAGGTTGGTGGAAGGGAAAGAGAGGTGGGAGGCCCCTGTCCACCCCAGGGTGTTTTCCCTCAAAGTTAGGGTGAAACCGAACTAAATCATTCTGTCACCTGTATGGTGCTCAAAGCTGCGGATAACGACAGGCGTCACTTAGCCCTTTGCAAAGATGAATTTCCAAGACTTTGCTGATCAGGTGACATTTGTAACAACAACATAAATTGGCTCGAAAAATTATTGTTTTGTGAATTCTTCGTCTATTAGCTTTATACTACTCTTTTTATGTTTAAAGTTTCCAATACAGAAATAAAATCCAAACACATGTACATGGAAATATTTAAGCTCATTATGTAGAGCAGAGATGGCTAACCAATGGCACGCGTGCCATTGATGGTATTTTATTGCACGTATATATATACACAATATTTGGGGCACGCCACCGATCAAAACGGTTTGCATTTTAGTTAAAAATAACAACGTTCACTACAAAGAATTACGAACAAACGCGAGTGATTGGTCGCGGGACGGCGAGGTGCAACTCGTTTGTTATTATCTTGCGCATAGCATAGTAAATTTCGCTGATACAACAGTAATTTAAAGTTTATTTGTGTTATGTTAACGATTATTAACTGTTATTTAACATAGCTAGTTCAGCAAATAAATAAATAAAAGTGCAAGATAGTAAGTGTAAGAGAAGTTTAGACTTGGGGGACCGAGAACTATGGCATGATTAGGATGAGCGACAAAGAGGTATATGTTTAATATTCTGGAACAATGGTATGCAGAAATTCATCTGTAAAAGATTCCAAACACATTTAAATGTTTGCAGGATTTGTCTTGTGCTATTTTAACCATGTTTTCATCTACCTAAGCGTACGAGTTATTATTTTCAGAAATGAATAACATTAAAGATCTCTTATAGAAACTGTTTGGTAGATAACTCAAACTCAACATTTGAATTCTGCTTAAAGTAACATCTTATAATACTAATATAAATTTCTTATAATCTAATCTGCAACAACAGAAGTTTCACATATTACTAAATTATTACTAAATGTATTTACATTCGTAGTAAATAAAGAGTTTTGAGTTGTTTGTATTTAGTTTAATTATTTTCTTAAAACTCATAAGTCAAAATTGTTTGACGGTACGTCTGTACTTCATTAAATATTTCTTTAGAAAAAAAATGGCACATTGATCGATAAAGATTTACCTTCCCTGATGTAGAAGAAACCAATATTTTGCTACTTGCGTAATATCGCAACCATATTGGCGACATTGAATAAAACTGTGCGAATACTAAAATTGGAATACGTTGGCGGGAATATGGAGAAGTAGTCGAAAAAAATACTTTGTAAAAAATAATAAGTAATTATAAATAAGATGCGAACAATAAAAGGGAAAAAAACTATTTTTTATTTGATTTGGTTTTTATTTTAAATTGTAATGATATTAACAATACAATAATAATAATTATGCATAAACATATTATTATTTTATTAATCTTATTATTATTATTATTTTTATTTTAGGATTCGAATTTGCCATATCAATGAACAGTTGGGTTTAGAATGACGAAAAACGGAGAAATATCAAACGAAGACATGGTAGCCATTTCAAGGCCTACACGGGTGAAATCGGGGTTGCTAATTTGTTGAGTTATCTTGGCATGATGCGATAGTACGTAATAACTAATATTAGTGTCGTTAATTGGAATGTGAAAAATATGCTGCCTTATTTTTTACCACAAGTCAATAGGTCTAAGCTTAGACTTTTCCGGTCGAGGTTCTGTAGAAATTTTAAGAACAGAGCGCCATCCTCATGTCTCTTATCAAAACTGGATCTGGTTCATCATATTTTTGAGAATTTTGTATAAAATAGTGTAAATAATTTGTGTTTGGATGCGTAAAGCATTTATATTAATCTATGTTATGTTATGTTCAAATGGTAATATCCCCAAGCAACGCAGCCCTTTACGTTATAATGGTGATTCAATGGGAAATTGGCCAATTATTGGCACTAGAGGCAAGTTGACATCATTTTAGGCTACTTAGCATCCCTAAGTTCTGGACCTTATAGATTCTTACAGAAATTTTAGTGGAGAAACACACTAATTTCCCAATCTATGACGCAAGTGGACTTTTCTCGAAAGATCCGCCGGGATTATAAATAGAGAGATGCTCGCCGAAACGAGTCAGTCTGGTTTTGACTAGCGATTAGTCAGTATTGTTTTGGCTAGCGATTAGTAAACTTGCCTTGACCGTGATTACCGATTAGCTCGGCTGCGCTTGCAAATTATCCTTTATATACGTGTATTTTAGACGCTGATAATTGTGTCTGAGTGCTGTTCAAAGAAGGAGGACCTTCTGAGACTTATTCTGCGAATACTGCTGCTGCATGCTGTATTTAAAGGATTATTTATATTTTTATGACAATAAATTCTCATCGCTCTTAAAGAATTGTCTTGTACTTTGTGACTGATTTGCATAAAATCCTCAAACCCCGATCAACATAACAATATGAATAATACAGACAGACTAGTCAATTTATTTGTCCCAAATGGAGGCAATATAACTTTTGTTTCTTAATAGACAGAGTTGCTACCGACTTAGCTTATCTTACGGTTTTACTTAAAGAAAGAGCTTTTCTCTCTGGAGAAGTGACATGCAAACACTAGAATATCATTGACAACTTAGACTAACTTTGACTAACAGATAAACTAGTTGTCCTTCAAGGGAAAAAGAGTAGCTTCAGTGAAAAAGAATTTTCTCTTAACCTCTTAATGCAAAAAGTTTCTGGAAAAAAATATCAAAAAAATTTTTTTTTATTCAAGAAGATACATTTTAAAAACCTTGTTTGTGAAAAAAAGAAAAAAAAAAGAAAAAATTTGGATTTAATCCATAATGCAGATAAGAGCCGAATATTGCAATCCTGCACACTGGCGTAGACAGTGTTGAGTAGGCCCCGTATCATAACTCCTTTGAGGCCCCTTTTTGGAAATGAAAGCCATGTTAGTGGTATTTTAATTACACATGTTGGAGCTCCTGTAGCTTTGGGGCCACGTATCATTCTTACGATTGATACGGCGGTAGCTACGTCCCTGATTTTGCACGTATATCAACCATTATTATTTTTCTTTTCAAATTGCTTTTTTTAAAAAAAAGGAACATTTTTCTTTAATTAAAAATATTTATTTGTACTTTTTCAACTGAAGTAATAGTAGTCGTATTATTTATTTAAAAAAATACTCAAAAATTATCTTTTGTGTGATGTATTTGGAAGTAAGGGGCATAATATAATCCAACATAGGAATTATTATGCATATAACGACGACAGGTCGCAATTAATCTCAGGAGTACATACGGCACATTCGAAAGGGAAAATTAAATCAGCTTAAAATACGACCCAATCGAATTATCTCGAGTGGCACAGTTTAGCCTTTTAACACGCTGGAAAGAACTGGAGAACACATGATAAGGAGTTAAAAGTGAAAAATTATTGATTATTTCCTTTAGAACACGCAACATCTTTTTTTCTGAATAAACTCATCCGGATGCATTTTTCTATCTTGCACGTGTGCATTTCAAATAACATACTACGTTTGCAAACAGTGCCTCAGCCACCTCAACTCAACGTGACGATTGAGATCATTACCAAATTTAATGTGAATCAGCTCCGCTACATGGTGGCCTTCAAAGTCATCTGGTCCTGAACACAGGCATGTCAACGCTGATTTCGATATATCGAGAACATATTACTCGGCTACAGTATCTACACAGTTAATATCTGAACAAATATAAAACAACATTTATTTTAACTTTTTTTAAAGAAAAATGTTCTATTTTGTATACAGTTGCTTATAATATGATTTGAAAGGACATAATTTTAGATATATGTATTCTCAGTCGCTTAGGAAAAAATAAAGTGATATGAAGATATTTGGAATCTTTTATTTTTAAGAGAAGATTCCCCTGTTAATCTTTAAAATCATAACATGTTATTGAAAAGTTTATTATTATTATTCGTAATAAACCACATTTATATATATTCGTTTATATATATTTATACATTATATATCCTTACTAATATTATAAATGCAAAAGTTTGTATGGGTGTTTGTTACTCTTTCACGGAAAAACAACTGAATGGTTGTCAATGAAACTTTACAATAATATAGCTTATATATCAGAAAAACAAATATGCTAATTTATAAAGATATTGTCTGAAGTTTCAAAAATATAACGATAATGGTCAAGAAACTAGGAAAAAATTCTGCTATCTGTAAAAAAGCCCATGACAGCATATATCTATCTTTTTTGAGTGAAGCAAAACTTTCCCTTTGGTTTATTCTACGCCATGTGACAGGAACTGCAAAAGCTTGAGC